TATGATTTCACCGTTATTATCTTTCATTTACAATTCCTTATTTTACCAAACTAGAAGGCCTCGCAATACTTCTAAGCAAACATATCCATCAATAGGGGTGTCCTCTTGAGCTAACCAGTGTTTTCTCTGCATTGGTGGCCGAGGGTGCCTAGGCAGTTACTTGAAAAGGCCTCCGTTCCTTGCATAAGATAACTGCCGTTTGATAACTGCACTAATACATTCCACAATAAAAAAATAATGTAAAAAAAATTACACACATAAAATGAGAGCCTCCAACATTATCTTACAATAGGAGGGTAAAAGGAACAACTGTGCAGAGGTAATTACAGGCCTCTGTTTAGGAACCCAGTACACCCTCATCATACTGCATATTTAACATACAATCACCCATAAATTTTACCATGCATTTACCATAATTTCACATTACATATCTGTAATAATTTCACTTATTTTTTACATCTACTTCATTTTTAGAAATAATTATAAAATTTGTATTAAAAATTTTCAACAAAATTTCAAAAATATAAAAATTTATCTTAATAGCCTTCCCTAAAAATAATTAAAAATCTAAGAATTCTTTACTTACTCTACTAAATTATTAAAATTCAAATTTTAATATTATTAAATTGTACTACTACATATAATAGTGTTCATTTTTAATGTTTAATTTATTACAAAAACAAATATCAATTCCCAATGGAGATTTAATTACATAAAAGCAGAAGCGAAAATAATTTTCTGGCACCTACTTCAAGTGTAAATTTAATCCTATGACTGCAAAAGAACAACCTAATTTATTCGCACATAATCGGATCAAGATATGCAGTTCGATGACCTTGAAAGCACTGGAATAATTTGAAACGTTGGCACTCGAAAAACATTCGCAATTTTACTATAAACAAACACTGAATTAATTTTTAAAGGCTGGCACTAGACTTCATTTTTAAGCACTCGCAGCAAATCTATTATTCGAAATTTTTTTTCACATTTTGATATTGCTGTTCAATTATGACACTACACTTATTAAATCACTGTATATGCTAGATTAAATTTCAAAGAATGGATTTTGACTTAAAACATTTTAAACTTTTAACACGACTTGCCGATTCCAGGTTGCACACATAGATTGACGGAACAGAAGATATCTTGAAGATTATAACATGAAGGCATTAATTAACTAATTCGCTTTCACAGTCGTAGCCACAATTTAGATGATAACACTTCTGTGAAGAACAGGCACACTTTGATGATTTAAAACACCTTTTGTTTTCTAATTATATAACAGATGGCCGTACACTTCATTTTTACTGACGTTAGCACTTTTGGACTTGCAGATACTCGACATCCATTGTGAATTTCTGTTACACATGCAAGTTTGAAGAGATGTTTGGTTATTGTAGACATTGCGATGACATTTCCGCTGGAATTCCAATGCACAGGACATGTGTCCTGTCGACTCAATTGTAATATATTCAGGAGCAGGAATTTGGATGCAGGAAGAAATGCAGATCTATAATGACTAGAAAATTGGAGGCGAATGCAGATTAACACTTTCCGGCACGCTACATTTTAAAGTTGGAGTTTTGAAGGGAAAAAAAAAGGTAGGCAGTCTAATTAGGCCTAGAGGAGTACACAAGTAAAATTTTTTGAAGATAGCACTTATCATTTAATTCTCTGGGTGTGCCCACACTGATTGAATAGAGCTTCGAAAAAGTACTGAAACGAGCATTGTTGTCAATGAACTGCCCAACCAGATGAGGAGAAACAAAGAATACAGACTCTCAGTTGTCCTAGATTATCGGTGAGCCCGGTCTGGGCACACCTAGGGTTCGACATTTGATTTTAGGCAAGATTTCAAGGTAAAAATTTAAAACTAATATAGAATAAGGAGATTAGCATGCAGCCAAAAAAATAACAATGAAATTTCTTTCCAAACAATTCCTTTTATACCATAAAAAATCTGGAAGATTCCTTTAAAAAATGAGGGTCTTAAAAAACTAAACCTGACTAAAATATATGGACTGGTTTGTGTTGAGCTGCCATTGACTATAAATAAAGAAGGTTCAGAGTAACCTATAAATCCTTTTTCATTCAATTTTTCTGGGCGTACAGAAGGAAATTTTTAGGTGTGTCCACAGCAGACACACTGTGCCGCAAAGGGTTAAATCTTCAGTTTTATTATCAGCAATATGTTACGGCTACAATGAAGTTGACACATTAATTCTGCCTATTCCAAGAGATTTTACATTTTAGATAAATTTGCAATAAGAAAGAAGGAGCAGACAGACTGCAGTGCTGCCAGGCCAAAGCGTGGAAAGCAAGTGCGTAATGTTCAGGATGAAATCTTATCCAGACTGAGTTAGTTTTGGTTCTCAATACATTCTGATTTGACAGTTAATATTGCTCTAAAATTACTATTGGCTGGTTGAGTTTTAGTTCCATTTACATCATGATAATTACGTAAGAATCACATGACATAGAATAGTCTCGAAATGACACAGTGCAGAGACAGGTTCCTATTTTTAGAATTGAGAAGGGAAATTTACATAGCTAATTTAATCTTTTACATATTCTTTATTTTTCTTACACACACACATATATATATTAAGAAACCAGTGTATAAATATGTCATATTTTATAAGCACAGTCGCGATGGCTGGAACCCTCAACTGCTTTCGATGACAGTCATGGCTGTGGTTAAGGTATACAAATGAAGATAATAAAACATGAACTTAAAGAATATCCAGTCTTTATTCTCACACATATCCAATTCATTTGGCAGACACTTATTCAAATCTAAGTTTTATGATCATAGCCGGTAATTTTAAATGTTTTTGGATATTGCAAAGCAAAGGTGAAATTTTCGAATTAAAGGATTTTGTAAAGAAATGTGGGGAAGCGGTAATAAATGAAGATAATATAAAAGAATTTGTTTTATTATTGATTTCATATTTTGTAGAACTTTAATGAATTTTTTATTAACAAACTCAAAGATTTCAAAGCAAGCAATGGCCACGTTGTACAGAAAAAGCAATTTTACCTCCATCGTGCGAGACTGTGTATCGGAAATTCTAAAAATAGGCTCAATTTAGAATAATTTTGCGATATTGCTCTTGAACTGAATTTTATGGTTTAAGTGCAAAGAGCATGATATTTAATAAATAAAGGTAACACACAAAATGTAAAAGGAAAAAAAAAACGCCCCTTTGGACATAATTTAAAATCTGAAACCTTTCAGATTTTCTTTTTTTCATTAATTTTATAATTTCTACATGCCATCTTACTAGATTTAAACTGATGATCTAATATCCCAAATCCAGAATCTTGGAAGTTCCGACGAGTCCGGATCTTGTACTTTGTACTGTATCACAAAAATTGTGATAACTTGTTCAAAAATAAGCCACTCCATGTAAAATTCGAATATGTTCTTAAATCGGAATTGCTGAGCAAAACTGCAGCATTCAAATTAGTGTCGCTCCAAGCAAAATATATCACTTGTGAGAAGCATAAAATTGCATGTTTCAGAGCAAGCCTACAAATTCCACTGTGATACAGAGATAAGAAATCTGGGGCAGCCAATTTGTAACAATGACCTCCAGGCATCATTTGCCCAAAGAACTGGAATGGAACCTGAACTCTCAACTGAGATTCTCCCTTGCTGCAGCCACTGGAAGGTTGGTATCAAAATCAATCTTGCATAGAAGGCATCGCAAAGGAGGTCTGCATGCGAGATAACCAGTCATTTGCATGTCGCTCAAGTCACGTTACAGATGGGAATGTTTGAGGTGGGCATGTCAATATGTCCACTGGACAGCTGATAAATGGAGGGCTGTCCTCTTTACAGAAGAGTCCAGATTTCAGTCTCTGAAGCAATAGTATGTGTTACTTGATTTGGAGAGAACCTGGAATCCTTTACCATCCACCAAACATTCCTGAAAGAGATGCACACGGAGGGGCAGTGTCTGTGTTTGGAATGGTATCTTTTTGGATGGACGAAAAGACTTCCATGTCTTTCCATGTGGAACAACGAATCCTCAGGCCTATACAGATCACATCCTTAATGCTTATGTGTCCCCTTATGTCAGAGCAATAGGTGATCATTTATTGCTACATGATGACAATGCTAGACTAAACAGGACTTGCATCATGGAGTGGCCAGCTAGATCACTGGACTTGTATCCTATCGAGCATGTTTGGGATGCTTTAGGAAGACATATAGCTGGTATCAATCCTCCTCTTCAGACCCTTACCATGCTTGCAACTGCTTTGCAAGAACAATGTCTTGCACGTCCTACGGAACTGAGAGACTGCATAATTGACAGCATTGCACATCACTGTATGTGTTGCATTGCTTCTAGGGGGATCATACTCCATGTTGAATGTAATTTTCCTATACCAAACGGGCACATCTGATTTGCTTATTTAATACATACTAATTTCTATAACATCATAATTGTCTGGTAATTTCTTTTCATGATATTTTACACCTTAAAAAGTGTTGTATGCAGGGGTCAGTTTCATTAAATTCTACATGCAACTTTTTGAGTATTCGTCATTATTGTGATATTTTCTTAATCAAACGATAATCAGTGTACATAATGTTGGCACCGATAAGACCATTTGAATCCTAAAAAAGGACAATGACATAAGTGGTTAAGAGGTTGCTATAACTAAAATGGATTATATGTGTTTTCACCAGTTGGAGATACTCTGCACTAATCATAATGGAATGGCAACACTAATCAGTGTTCATTATAATAAGCATCAACATTATGTATTTCTTTTTTTATAAAAAATCATAGTTTTGATAGTGTCTTAAGAATTGTGGAAATACATAAATTTTAAAATAATAAACTACTTTTACTGCATAACAAATTATTAATAAAATACATTAAAACATACAGTGAATAAATCATTTTGGAGGCACTTTTAACACAATAAAGAATCTTTATAAATCAAACTGCCGAGGGGTTACAAATTTTGTTTAGTTTAGTACTTACACATCTCTGTCAGCATATGGAGATTTACTTTGTTCAGTCAAGGAAGAAATTTCTTCTTCTTCTGTAGTTTTTTCAGCCAATTTTTTACTGGTTTCGGTAAGTTCCTGAAATTTTTTTTTCCACAGTTATACATAAAGGAGTAAGATAAGCAAGTCTCAAAGGTACTCGTAATATTTTTGATTTCATTTCTCTTAACACTTCAAATTACCTACTTAAAAAGTAAATCACTAAACCATGGTCACTGCTACAATGATATTCGCTTATTTTGTTCATTCATTTCATCAAATACAGCAAAGGATGAAAGGTTGTCAGTAAAACAAGAATGGTCACTCCAACTTCAAACTTATTTTTAAAAAATAAAGCTGATTTTTTAAAACTAAAAAGAACAATTTCAGTTAAAATTAGCAGTTACAGCTCTATAAACAATACACAAAATTACTAAATATAATTTTTTCTATAACTAAAGGAAGACTTTCTATGAAAATTGGCAGAATTTTTAAGTTTAGCAACGTCACAAAGCATCACTGCATTGGCAAACAAAATAATGCTGACATATTTTTAACTCCAGCACCATGCAGCACCTAGCACCTATTTTTTTAATGAGTAATTTCTAAATAAGAAGATATTTAGTCATTAAACTGTTTACACTTTTGTTAAGTTAGTGGCTGCCCATTAGATACTTAATATAAATGTTTACATATTAATATATACATGTTTACATAGTAGCAAAGTTTGTCACAGTTCAGTCTGCATTTGGTTTACAAACTGAAATTAAAATTCTCACTTTAAGTCAATTAACAATTGCCAAAGTAGATTCATATTTTTGCATGAAATTGTTACTAAGTGTTATGGATTTCTTGCATGAACTGCTGTTCTGTTAGGAAAAGTTCTCCAGAATTTTGCTCCTGAAGAAAGCAGACCCTGCATCTGGCTGGCCTTGAAATCGACAGAACTTCATTCAAAATCTATACGAAATTAAGGCTGCATTTTACTTAGTTTTAAATTTTACTTTGCCCTGCTTCCCTTCCAATTTGAACTGAAGTTTATTTCTTACTCATAAATTTCATAAAAACTAACAAAATAAATTTAGAAAACATTAAATAATTCCTTTGAATATGAATCAATTTTTTTTCTGATCTTAATACATGATGGATACTCAGTAAAAAGAAGCAAAACATTCATAAATGTGATAACAGGTGTAAAAAAAACAACTAATCAATGGCAAAGCCACAAATTTTAAAACACCTAAAATAAGTTTGCCTGAAAACCGCAGAGCAAGAGTTTTTATAAATTTGAGGTTTTAATAATGGCATGTCTTACAGAAATGAAAAATGTAGTATGGAAAATAATCAGAAATGCAATAATTATAATGCGGAAAATAACCAGTTACATTTTTTTTAAATTAAACAATGAGAACATTTAATTATCCCACTGAACATAATCTGAGAGATTTCAATACTGAGTGCATATTATTTATAGCAGAACTTGGTACTGATACAAAAAAATCTAATGACCTAACACATTTCTACTGTAATGAAAAACCATTTAAACTTTAATTTTTCATTTATTCATTCATAAAATGACCATAAAATGTCAGTCATAGATAAGTTTTTCATTTTTGCTTTCTCATTATTTAATTGTACTTTCTGGAAATCATTTCCTCCTGCCTCATCTGCATGGACTGCATACTTACTTCATCTGTAAAACATCATAGCATTTTTAAAAATAAATATTTTTCCTCCCTTTTAGAGCCCACCAGCGGCCGAGCGGTAAAATCCCTGAACACTGGTAGTTCAGTCTGAGGTTTGAATCCCATGAACAGGCTGGCTGCATGGGTGTTTTCATGGTTTTCCCCACGTGTGAAATGAATATGAGCCAGTTTCCCTTAGAAAGTCATCCACAAAGGCACCCCTCGCCTACGGCAGATAGCCCTTGAGGCTTTGCCATATTTAAACAAACCAACCCTATCTTTTAGTTTCAGGGGTGTGTTTAAATTACAAGTGTTAGACACTGATCTTTCATCTATTTGATCCAAACCACTCTTGCAATGTTAACACAAGTACTCAAACTGCTCCTAATGTCAAATGAGTTAGTTTGCTGTTTAAACTTAATATTTACATATAAACTTTTTAAAAACATATAGCAACTAATTTACACAAACTAAGAATAACTATTACTAACTTACAAAACTAAGCAGTAGCATTATCACATAACCTTTTTTCTAAACATGATACTACTACTCATAACAGAAAAAATTTCCAACAGCAATCGTATCAAATGTAACAAACATTCCAGAGCAATATTAAATTCTCTGACTGCGGTTAAATGGGATAAGTGGCATAGCAAAGAATAACAGTGATATCTGCCTTTAAGAAGGATGCTTTTATGAAGCATGTTCAAAGAAAACCTTGCTTATATTTTACAAGTGAAGGAAACCACATAACCAGAAGACGTTTACCATTAGACTGCTTAACAAAACCAAACAACTATGTAAATATATTGATCAAATAACTATTCTGTACGAGTTACTCTCAGATTACACAAAACCTTTCCTACAGAAATTTCATATTAGATAAAAATTTCCAATTCTTGCATTTCAAATACACAAAATCTATCACTATTTAATATAATTTATAAATCTATACATTTATAAAATACAAACACACTTACTTTCAACATTGAGAATTCATAATGTTGATAACCTTTGGTTGTTTCAGCAACAGATGTCATTGTATGAGAAACCTTTTCACAAATTGCAATCAAAGTGTTTTGATATCCAGCCAAGGCTTGAGAAAATAAATTACAACGTGAAAATGACAGCAAGTCGACTTTCTGTAGAGTATCAAGCTTTAATTTATCGAATCGTGCTTTTGTTTTTCGCACGTTGCTTTGCACCTGCAAATAAATCATAGACTTATTGAAGTTTTAATTAACAGTTAGAAGAAAACAGATATTAACAAATCTGTGAAACTGAAATGATCTTTTAACTAAAATACCATGGCAAAATAAATTCTAACTTAAGCAATTATCATACCAAACCATAGCCTGCACTTAGTAATTTAGTTAGCTCTCAAAATATTCTAAATGTAATGTTTGATTTTGGAAGATTTCTGCTTAAATTTCTGTATAAATATTTTCAGAAAAGTATATTTGCACTTGTAAAATTTTCCACATAAATTGCTTTAGCCATCTACTGACCTCTTACCATGAACATGAAAATTCACATTTGATTTCTTAATTCTGTTACTTGGCATCATATGTTGATATACATTTCTTTTAATCACTCATTTATTTGCTGCTTTTAAATTCATTAGGCTTTTCTTTAATTTCTCTTATTTTTAATTTAACCAGTTTTCATTCATATGTAGGGTGTTCTAAATAAATGAACACCCTGATCACATTTCAGTACAATACTGCTTTTATAATGTATATGCAACAAGAAAGTGCAACATTGTGATATGTGCAACACTGTTACAAAAAACACTGTCCTCTAATTGTATCAACAAAAACCAAATTAGCAGTCTAGTTTGTATACAGTTTTATTTGGGACATCCTGGATTACCAATACATATTTGATTAATATTTAAAATTATTTTAACAGAGTAACAAATGCATCATTTAACTTTCCCTGATAATATTTATGAATAAAAGTAAATAATGTTATAAAAAAAACTTCATTATGAATTATAAACCTAATGCCACTTACAAATAAAATGTTCAAAATACTTTACATTTCTACATAACAAAATTCTTTAAAGTATTATTTAAACTCAGACATGTCTGTTCTAACATATCGTGAAAATGTGTGAAACTGCATTAAAAAATAATTTTATATTCTCAATGAAGGGAAATTAAGGTAAAATATATTTGTTTCATAAATAATATCATTTAATGATCTATTCTTAAACTGAAAATCTTGTTTCTTCATTCAATATTTACAAAACAAACAATTTTTGTATACAAAATGCTGAAAAACAAGAATGATCAAATTTATTATTAGCAACTTGTAACTTAGAAATATTTCAGCTGCTTATTATGACACAGCAACTATATATAAATATTCAACACACTGATTTAAATCAGGTCTTTCATTCAGCAGAAATGATTTCATTTCTCGCAGAGTTTTAAATTTAAAAACTGGTACTTATTTCTAGTTTGACTTCACAAAAATGCAATTGAAGTGAAATTGATACCTCCCTAAACAAAAGGAAATAATTTAATAAAGAAACATTTAAAAAAGACACTAGTAACATGGGTTTATACCAAATATATCATAAAGTGATAACTGAATACCCCTTTAATTCTTTTGGCTTTTATACATACAAAATTTTAATTATTACTTTTAACAATATACATAGCATCTTGATTTTATAATAAAATTAGTAATAGAGCTTCAGTCCAAAGAAAAGATGGAATTCTTGATACAACTAAGAAAATGAATGACTTCTTCAAGGTTTCCTATTTTTTTACCACGATACAAATGTTAATTATGCCCTGTTATGCACAAAACTATTTCCTTAAAGACATATTTAAAATTTTTATTTAGAACTAGGCAGTTGGAAGAATCCTCCAGTGATAAGTAAAGCAATCATCCATTTATTAGAATGTTTTAGCATGCAAATATGCTACAGCAGTAGCAAATATTTTCATTAAACATTTTGATCACAAATAACAAGCTATTAAATTATACAAATTAAAATTGAATACACTAAAATAAGGTGACCTAACCAGTGTGGTGCGGCCAGAACTTCCCTTTCTGCGATGTGTACAGGACATTGAGGAACTCGTGTTAAGAAGAAACGTCCTTTGAGAAAGCGTTTCTTCTTTGATTTTTTGCAATAATTTAAACAGATTTTCGTAGATTTTTGTTTTTTTGGCTTATCCATTAATTAATTTACTTGAGCGAAAAAATATTTTCTTTTCCTTTAAAATTTTCAGCAATTTTAAATGATATTCATTTTATAAACTCTTGATAATGTGACTTTCGAACTTCAACGCCGGCTTGGAGTTTTGGCGACAGATATTTCCCAGCATGCATGTTCTTTATCTGTTTCCCTCTATGTTGTAACTGAGTCACTCCTGTTGCAGAGAAGTTTTTCTTCTTGACAATATATATTCTTTGATTCTAACCTCCATAGTACCATATACTAAGATTAAACCGATTTTGTTTTAAACGAAAAAATAAGTATTTTGTTTAGTTCAACATGCATTGCATATGCGCATGCAATTCTCTTGATTCTTGGAGGTTACTGGAAACTTGCTTTGCCTTTCTAAAAGACAATCTAATTGGAGCTGCAAAAATTGGCTCTATGCCAGCTGCCCGAATGACGCTGATGCGATTCACAATTCGCCAAGAAAGCGATCGCTTCCAACGTTGGCGCAAAACTTCCTTTTGGGGGAAAATTCCTCGACTTTTTGCAGAGTTTGACTAAAATATTTAAATTCCCTGACTTTTCCCTCAATTTTTGAATTCCCTAACTTTTTCCGGTTTTCCAGGTAGCGTGGCAACCCTGATGTAAGGATATCAGACTACTTACTATACAGAACTACAAGAACATACAAAAAGTTATATTTCACATTTTTTACAAAACTGATTTTTCACATTTAAAAAATTCCAAAATATAAATATCTATCATTTAAAACATTTTTGTTATTGGAAGTATTAGGTCTATGCCAAATGGCTACACGCCCCCCCCCATAAAAGAAGGAAAGACGAAGACTTTTGGAAATATGGTGTGTATCACATTCAAAGACAAACATGTTTCACATTTTAAAAATTAGAGCTAGGATATTCTAGTTGCTTTTCACAACAGCAAATTTTAAGAAATAAAACTACCTCAAAATTAGGAAAATAAGTTCTGTATTTGCTATGATGATGCATGTTCATGTATGGAGCATACATCATAGTAAGAACTAACTGCATGCTCTGTATGAAACAAGGTGCACATCATCATAAGACTCTAGCACTGTACTTTCATAATGAGTACACCTCAAACATTACTAACTCTAAACCTTATTCTATTACGTACACAAATCATGGATTTAATAAAACCTTTCTAAGGCATAGCTGCTAACCTTGAAATGTGAAAAGCTGAGAGGTTTTTGTACTATGCAGTGACTCCATTTTAAACTCCACTGACTTAAGTTCACTTTAAAATAACTGATTTAGATTACAAAACTATTTATAACGATTCTGATGTAAAATATATTAATACTTTTTTATGTATTCTAAATTGCACGTTCTTTCGCTATTGTAATTTTCTTATACTTTTAAACCGAGCAAATCCTAAGTATAAATAGTAACCTTATATTTATTAAAGTACTTTTAAATATGATGAAAATAATATTAAAAATTGATACATATACTACAGTGTGGATAAGCCTAATGATGTACCACATAAGACAAAATTAATTACAAACATCAATTGATCCAACACTGCTTGAATCTTCATAAAATGGTCTAGAAATGCCTACAGTAGATTACAATAATTGAAATTAAATAAAATTTAGTTAGAAAAATATGGTAAAAGTCATTAAGGGAGGGGAATGGAATTTACGCAATTTAGATTTCCTTTATTCAATAGATTTCCCTTATTGTTGGAAAACATTTTGCTTCTTACAAGAACTTTAAAAATGGGAGAATCAGTGATCTAACAAACAGACTGCAAGATGTGATGGAAAACAGGAAGGGTTAGCAGTTATGCTACAGTGTACTCATTAATGTCTTGCTGGCACAAAGTAACTTAAATCATAGCGAACATATATATAGATACAGTGGTTACCTCGATATACGAGTGCCCTAATATATGAGTGTTTTGAGACGCGAGCTGCCAAGCGAGCGATATTTTGCTTTGAGATAAGAGCAAGATTTGAGATTCGAGTTCTGGAAGGACCACTTTAACATCGTGATATGCCTAAGAATTATTGATCAGACCTGGCTGGGTGTTACGAGGACCTTAACCTCTGCATGGAAGAAGATGTGGCCTGAAGCTGTAGCTGAAAGGGCCTTCCAAGAATTGGAACCCGAAGTGTTAGTGGTAGAGGAGATTGTTTCTCTGGGAAAATCCATGGATCTGGAGGTGGATGAGAGAGATGTGAACGAACTTGTTGAGGAACAGTCTCAGGAGCTGACAACCGAGGAGTTACATGATCTACATTCGCGGCAGCATACGGTGGTTCAACAAAAAATTAGTTTTGAAGAGGACCCAGAAATGGAGGGAGTTATCCGTACAAGACATATAAAGGATATCTTGAGAATGTGGGAGAAAGCTGTAGAGTTCATGGATAAAAATCATTCCGAAAAAGTTGCAACTGATCGTGCATCGGAGTTGTTCAACGAAACTTGTCTAACTCATTTCCACAATATCCTGAAAGGAAGGAAGAACAGACCTCCTTGGACAGTTTTTTTAAACGATCTGCAAGTGAAAATGAGCAAAGCGTGATGCAAAAAGTGAAGACCAGCGACGAAAATTAAGCGCTTCCGTAAGCACTTCACTTTTTCTTTTAATTATGTTTTTATAGAATATGTATTTGTTAGTTATAAATAAATGTTTTTTCTTGTAAATACATTTTTCTTATTCAAAAACACTTAACAAAAACAACTGAGGTGGTGTTTTGGGAGCTGGAATGGATTAATGGCATTTCAATTTTAATTTCAATGGGGGAAATTGCTTTGAGATACGAGCAAGGTTACAGAACGAATTAAACTCGTATGTTGAGGTACCACTGTACAGTGAAAAAAATATCAAATGCAACCAGATTTTTCCATAACTGAGATAAGTTCATGTACAACATAACAATATGCAGCTCACAAAAGATTAGCATGCAAATGGAAACAATTATTGCATTCCACCTGAAATATGGTAAACACATACCTTTCTAAACTTTTCAAGCTGTTTACAGGTATCAGGATCAAGTTGTTGTGAGACATCTTTCATCCACATCAGAGCTCCTCGATATGCAGTCCTAGCCTTCTCCATTTTTTCCACAGTCTGCAAAGTATCAACTATTGCTCTATACTGGAAAGTCTCTACTTCATGGTAGAGACGAACTAATGGTAAGCGCAAAGATAATCTAGAAAATTTTTTAATAAAATTTCAATATCAATTAGCAAATGAATGAGAAACTATGCTACAAACATGAAACATGCCAAAAACTAATCACTTATAAATCAAGAGCAGTAATCTAAGCAACAACAAACAAAAACTGAAATTCAACTGAGATAAAGGGAAATTTAGAAACAGCTTATATAAAAGCCATTAAATGAACTATGACATAATGATTCTGCTCAATATGAATGCAGTTGATACCGTCTTTAACTGAAGAATTTCTTAATAAAACACAAGCATGTCATCCAGAAAAACACACAATTTGGAATAATGAAATCAATTAACGGATAGAGTACAATGTCTGAAATCCAATGCCCAATATCTTGGCCTCCAGACTGCCAGCCAAAATGAATAAAATAAAAATAAACTTTTTGCCTTAGGAAACCCCTTCTAGGAATGGAGAATATAGTACAGTATAAAGTCTTTAATCCGGACGTCCATAATCTGGAATGATCTATAATCCAGACCTCAAAGCTACAAACTTTCTGCGCATGCGTAGCGTTTACGCATGCAAGTTTAATGTATAATGGACGGTATAAGCTAGGCTAAAATTATCTATTTCAGTTAATGTTGCAGATTGCGTTGTTCCTTATTCTTCTAATTGGATTCGGTTTATTATTTTTTGCAGACTGTTAGAGCAATTTTATAAAAAGTAAGCTTGAACTTTCGATTATGTCAAAAGAGTTTCCGATTCTGGAGCTGCCAAAGGATCTACAAAGCGAAAGCATATTTTCGATGTCCATGAAACAAAATGGGGAATTGCTACAAAAAATGGATAAAGGCATGAAGAAAGTGACAGAGAGGTGATTTGTTTCTCTAACCATTCCGAAATCTGTTTATCAATTTCACGCTGCTCTGCGGGGGGTAGGGGGGACATCGCGGCACGCAACAAACTGGAAGTTGATCTGTCAGCACTATCCTCATCTTCAGGGCAGATGTTCTTATTTTATTTGGCTTATAATTCCTTACTAAATGTAGTGTTTCATCTCGATGTACTCCGATATGATTAAAATCAATTTCGGCATCATTATAAATATCACGAATACACATCAAATAGTTTTCTGGTTGCAATTTTCTAATTTCGACTATGTGTAATGTATGCTTTATGCATGCGCGCGCTAAAAGAAATGTTTAATAAAGTAAAGAAATAAATATTAAGCTTCATTTTGTTTGTAAATTTTGATACCCTTTAGATCATAATTGCTCTTTATTTCATAAATTATGGTTTTATATTTTTAACTGTATAATTTCTGCATGCCATCTTACCAGATTTAAATTGATGATGTATAATCCGGAAAAAACCCTAATCCGGAGTCGCCGATGAGTCCGGATTAAAGACTTTGTACTGTAATAATAATAATTAAAAAAAAAACAGAAACATCATACATGCAAAAACACCCGCTGACTAGTGGTTTCATACCATGGCTAATGACAATATATTGACTAGCATACCAGTGTTGGCCAGGATCATATTTTCAGACCTTGAGATGTTGTGACGGGTAGCATTCTTCTGTTTTACCTAAACAAAAACTAAAGCTCCAATGCTGCCATGTCTACATCTCATCTTACTACATTTAAACTGAAGATCTAAAATCCAGAAATTCTTGAAAACCAGAATCACCAAAATCCAACGAGTTCATATTGTAAATTATTCATTTATTTTCGAATACCAATAATGAAATGCCCACTCTAAAATCAGCATTTCAGATGAAAAATTTCAAAATTAAACTCTATAAGAAATTACCTAATTTTATAAACTTTTCAAACTTAGCTCTCAGATGTACAACAATGATTTTAATAAACCCCTTAACTTTCAACAACATAGTAAAATATTTAGAATGTTGAATGTATCTACTCAACATATGAGGTTTCTGCTTAGCAGTCTATCACTCAAGAAAGTTCCAAGATATGCAGTATTACTATACCAGGGTCATTTTTCTTTCAACCTGCAATGGAGCATAAGAAAAGAGTAAATAACAAACTGAATTTATTACCAAAAGTTATGTAAGAACATAGTTACTTTTTGACAAAATTATTTTGAAGATTCCAGCATTTGTCATAGTGGTGGACAAGCTTTCTGATCCCCTCTTCAAAGAATCTAGCCGCCAATGATGTGAGATAAGCCTGAACGTTGTTTTGATGCTCCTCACTCATCCAAAATCTTAGGTTTCCTAGTCAGTTCTTCAATTCAATGATGCAATGAAAATCACCGAGTGCAATGTCAGAGTTATATGATTCCTGGGTGATCAAACACATCTCACTTACAGTGTTCCAGAACAGCCCAGGCTTTTCAATGAGTCATTTTTATCTCTTCCCTGAACTGAAGAACTGGCTAGGAAATGAAAATTTCCAGACCTATCAGGAGCTTCAAAACAATATTCAGGCCCATCTCCCATCAATGGCAGCCACATTCTTTGATGAGGAAATCAAAACACTCATCTGCCAGTATGACAAATGCCTGAATCTTCACTTTGATTTTGTTGAAAAGCTATGATATTTGTACATTACTTTTGGTAATAATAAATTCATTATGTTCCTTAGTCATCTCTTTTTAATGCTCCCTTGGAGACCCCCCCCCAAAAAAAAGACCTTGTACACTGCAAAATAAAAAAGAAATTCTGACAGCACATAAATACATCAACTCATGATTTCCAAAAGGAATGCCTCATCTGGAATTTAAATTACAACATATAAAAATTATACATTACAAATGTCAAAATTCAGAAAAAAATATTAATCATTTGTGAAGTGTATATGATTACTCTGAAAGTGGTCTGTTGAAGAATAGCCCAAAGGCAGTCTTCAATTTAGTTAGTTAGCTAATATGTGGTTCATAACCTAAAGGTTATCATGCACCACACATATGGTTAGACAACCTTGTATTGTTTAATAAAAGCCTAAATTCTAAAATCGATTCTAAAAATCAGTTAAAGTAATGTGGTGACGAGCTTTGACTAATATTAAAACAAACAAACTGATTCAGGTCAAAATTATAGAGCAAGGTAACACGAAAAGTGTGGGATGAAGAAACCTATGAATTTGCAAGATTACTTCCAATATTAAAACAGGTAAAAACTCATATATGATAAACATTTAAAACACACTAAAGAAATAGTAAAACCATTTCAGAATGAATAATAAAAACCATTATATCTTAAATACAGGAATGTACTAGAATTAGTCTTCCCAATTAGATGATCAAGAGTTACCTCAAAATTATTAAAATACTTCCCACAAAGTGTATTAAAATAAGAACACTTTACTAAAATATATGGCATTGAAAGAACAGAATTGAATCTACAACAAGCAGGCTAACTTTCTTTTTTAACAGGTAATTATGTATCATTCAAGAGTAGCCAATTCTGAGATGAGTTAAAAAGAATTCCACTCTCCAGTTTCTATTAGCCACCTAATATTCTACTCTAGGTTTAATGCATCTCAGCTTGTTATGGAGCTGAATGTCCCAGACTTGCTGCCACTCATATTAGACTTTCTGCTTGATAACAATGTTGACATCTCTAGAAGGAATAAGCTAATTAGACGTTTCAACTGCAAACTTTACTGTAATGTTAGCCTTCTCATTACCTTTTATCCGTACCTGCCTGGGAACCCAACAGTACAGAATCTCATACCCACAATTCAAGTTTAAGTTCAGATCTTCAACAACTACAGAATTCTAGATTTCAGAAAATGCTTCTAAAGCTTTCAGTGCACTGAACAAGTCCATATAAATAATGAACTTTTTCGGGCATAGCCCAGATATGAATGAAAGTGCATAGTATACAGCAGTAAATTCAGAAGTTAAAAACCGAGCGAACATCATGCAAACAGATGCTCTTCACATGATTACTAATCTCAAATGCTCCTACATAATTAGTTCCCTATGAAACATCTACAGGAAAGTCTATATACTATAGTTAGTATTTCTCTTGTTAAGATGGAGGAAAGCATGACAAAGTTGGATATTCGCACTCTCACAGGATAGAATCCCAAAACGCTTTAGTCTGGGCATTCACAATGGACATGCAGTGTTTCTCTATCAGTGATTCAGCTCTTATGTAGAACAGAGGCACACTCAGAGGTCTTGCAGCAAACAGATGATTGTTGGAGTCATCAAGCAAAAAGGAGGTGACTAGGGTGGTTAGGTATCGATAACATTTTGAAATAATATAATAACCTAAGAGAATTTCTCGTCTTGAAGTAAAGACGGTTAGAAACAGACGGTTAATGTAGACGGATAGAAGCAGTAGACACACAGGCTCTGTACTGGAGATGCTCTGAAGGCTCCAGAACTAATCAGTAGAGCTTGATGATGAAAAGGATCTAGTTTTAAAACAGGCCATGCTGATCTGTAAACTACTAAACCATAATCTATTCTTGAGTGGAGAAGAGTTCTGTAAAGCTCCGTATCAATGAGCGACAATCTGTGCCCAAACACATGTTTGCCAGCACTTTTAATAAGTTTAGTATTTTGAAGCATTTCTTCCTCAAGTACAGTATATGCGGAAGAAAGGTACACTTTCAATAACTCTTAACCATTCGAGTACAAATTTATTTGAAAATTTTTTTGCACTTGGAGCATATTAAATTTTGCGGGCAAGTGAGAACAGTAGATTTTACCACAAGGTTCATCAAACTACTGAAATTATTTGTTCTGTTACACACACATTACTTTGAAATAAACCAAAATGAACTAGCTAAATCTCTTCTCAGTTTCAATGATGTATCAGAACATCATGTGCTTCTGTGCCCAAACAAATGCATGATGTACTGATACATCAAATGTAGCCAATGTTTTAAAAAGTTCAAGTATAACCAGAATCAAGGATCCTTCAAGGTGAAGCTCAGGATAAATATATATATATCACTTTTTGTGTTAAAGGATATTCCAAAAAAAATATATTCAACAAAATTAAGTTTATTAGAGTACATTTCATTTATATAGATATATGCATTATTTAATAA